TTTAAATAACTTGCCAAGTCCTCAATCTTGAATGAGATTGATATTTGCCTATTGAATTATTTCACAAATTGAACCTGGCCCTCCAAGTTAGCAATGGAATATGAACTTGAGTCTATTCAGTAAACAAGCTAAACTGACTATGATAACACAGGGATTTTAAATAAAGATTTAAAGATCACTGACATGTAGGTAAGGAGAAATTTGTCACCTTATCTGGAATAATGTTACAGCACATACAGTAGTCCTATTTAACTGGATTTAGAGCAGTGCAGTACGTGAAATGTTGAATACAAAATACAAGTCGATATATTGTTTTTGATAGTACTTTTTAAGTACTGGTTTGTCCCATCTTACCAAACCTCAGATAATCTCTCTCTCTCTTTCTCTCTTTTTCTCTCTCTCTCTCTCTCTCGCTCTCTCTCACTTTAAGTGTACCACGGTGTTGCCGACCTTTTGAAACATAAAAGCTGAACGATAATGGCCTGTGCCTACCATTGCTATGGGACTGTTGTTCTCGTGTATTGCAACGAAGTGCCAGATTCACTAACAGAGGTTTTGTACTTCATGCTGAGAAAATTTGCGAGGAACTGTTGTTCCTTTTTTTCCCTAGCTACATCTCAACAACTTGACAGCTCCTCGCTTTTACTGACGTGAAGCATGTTGTGATAAAGCCTCTTTCCAGGGCGCTGGGAGGATGGGTGGTGTGCACCGGGGAGGATAATGAGATATTTATACCTCTCAGCACCGTTGCAGGAGAGAAAGCAAATACCTTGCCTCACAGCGCGAACGGCTCAAGCCTGGAAATAAATAAAAGAGCCAGACACGAGGAGCGCAAGCTAGCAAACAGCAGCCCAGGCACTGAGTCACGCGGGGATGGTCCCAGATGTGTTCACAGGTACACCTTACATCAATTAGGAAGCTGCTAGGATTTGCACATACACCGTAAAATGATACGTGTTTGTTACTAGCATTGCTGGCTGTTTGAAATGTTGACACAGGAAATGTATAGAATTAACACAGAAACCCACTTCTGAATAGGCAAGGAAAACAATGTTAAGGTGTTCTACAAAACACATTAGGGATGCACAGTGATATCAGAATCATGCCAGTATTGGCTGATGTTTGCTTAAAAACATATGTTGGCATTAGACAGATGTTTAAATTTGACTCAAATTTCATATTATTCATTTTATTCCATTTACAAATAAGTGCAATATTTCTCTGTAATGCTAATAGAAGTGGATCTAGTTCTAGTTTTTATATTTTACAAATGTTTATGCATCAGCATTTGCGTGTATGCATTTAAAAAAAATCAGAAATTGTCATTGGCCCACAGTTCCCATATCTGCACATCATTGCAACAAACAACTGCTAGGAATGCTACTACCTTCTGAGGTTGTACAGATGCCAGGCTGCTTGTTTTGGGCATTGAGGGGCATCAGTGCCACCTTAGAGTCTTAATATTCACTGTATTGTCATTGAAGTTAAGCAGAACTTGCTAGTGTGCGTATTTTTGGATCTTTTGGAGTTAATGTTAATGCTAGTTAGCTATTTCAGTTAGCCTTGTAAATCTGAAGTAAATTTTCTTGATAACGAATATTAATAGGGAATTGAGTAACAGTTTTTAAAGTAATATTTGGCTACACCATATGAATATAATGCTAAGGAATAATAGCTATTAGCTAAGTCTTTTATGTTGCTGTGTGCTTGCTAGGCTAATCTTGCTAACTTCTAGTCACATTGTTCAGATTTCAGACTGGACTCCTGCCTCTGTGCTTTGTTGGTTCGGGGGCTGTCATGTTTGAACTATCAGCTCATTTGGCATCCCTAGCACAGAAGTGCAGAGGTCTAGGGGGAGCATGTGAAGCCCTCTGCACCTGACTGCTCTCTGATGAGTTAATTAGATCAGCGTGCTCGCTGAGCTGCACTGGATTGACTTTAATTACACAGGAGTTGTCGGTGGTTAAGCGGAGCTGAAGGGCTGAGTGGAGCTGGGTGGGCACCACTGGGACAGGTCTGTGCCTTTGGGACGGTATGGAGGTAACACACAGTCGTGCACACGCAGCCATCCATTCTAAGTGGCCAGGAGTTAAGTCTGAACTGAGGTCAGATATCGTTCGGGGATGATTTTGGGGGCTTGCGAACCATATCAGAAGACTTATGATTGACATTTGACCTCTGTTAAAATTTTACGAGTTTTCCAAGAAGGACAGTACGCAAAAAATGCCTTCATGGTATATTCTGACAAAACAAGGACTGACACATTGATCTTGTTTGAGGGAAGGGACGGATGTTGCCATGGTGGTTTTTTTTTTTGTTTTTTTTTAATAGAGAAATACAGCATTTGTATTTCCTCTTCGTCACAGGGGGATCGATTTCTTCTGCCTTCATCATAATCTCTGACACAGCCACCTGTCAATCATTCCCACCCACAAAAATGAGTGCCTTGTGTGCTTCTTATCTTGCCATTTGCTGAAAGTTAGTCACACTTCGAATGAGAGAGATTATATGTAAAAGTCGTGTCAATTGATTTAAAAAGCTCCTTCCTCTGCCTGATCTTTTGCTATGAAAACAACCGCATTGACAGACAGGCAGAGTAGAATATGAATGACCTTGTTTAAAGGGGAATTGCACTCATTTTTAAAATTTGTATTTATGTCTTTATTTTTATGTCTGCATAATTCAGTGGTTGAGATGTAACCATAGTCATTCCAAGTGGTTTGATGTGAAATAGTTAATTCTAGAGAAACTTACCAACTCTGATTTCTTTACAGTGGTGGTGATAGTAACAAGGGGACATGATGTGTACAATGCAAATATAGCCATTTAATTTACTTTTCAAAATGATGTGTTGTGTTGATAGTAGTAAAGTTCTAGTAAATCAGATTTTTTTTTTGGAGACTATTTGTTGTCTTACAAAGCCCTTTATTTACCTCTCTGCCATGAATGGCATTGAAAAAATGTTTTAGGCTAAAACCTTATCTAAGAACTATTGTAAAACAATGTCTCAGGCATCAAGCAGTGTATTCATACCAATATCATGTTAGAACTTTTTTGTGAGGGAGTGTTCAGAGGCATTAAACTCTTCAGATGTCTGGTTCCTATCATCACCACTGTGTAAGTTTCCCTAGAAAGGAGCATTTCACATCAAACCACTCTGAATAAGTGAATTTTTGATAAATTCTCCTTTAATTTAACTCCAACCAGGAGAGGCAGGAGAGGATAAATGTTTCACTGTAAAACAACAACTGGGGGCTTTAAAAATTTAGTGTCCAGACCTCCATAAAAAGTTATTTGACTTTCAGTTGATAAGTTGATAGGCTACAAAACAGTATTAACTTACTGTTTGAAATTCACTTAACTCATAATTTTAAGGCAGCCTGAACACTAACTTTTTAAGTTAAAACACTGTTTTTGTAGTGCATGTTCTCCCACTGAAGTGGGGAAAAAAAGCATTATAAAAATTCACTGGAAAGATTTCCAAACTATCGATTGTTGGTGTTTGAGATATCTAGGTTAATGAAGTCAAAAGTAAACAAATATGTATTTAACGGTTAAAATTACATGTAGTTCACCTCTCCATTCGTTATTCGGTGAAAACGTGAACTCGCTGTGTTGACTAAATCAAGTTCAGCTTGTATGTGATTTAAAGTTTCAGAGCTGCATTACTCAGCAGTGATGCCAGTGTCAAGTCCTAAGCCATGAATGAGAAACTTTCTGTTCTCTTTGAGCACAGAGCACTCATTCTTTATTTACAGTGCTGACTGATGACAGTCATCTCTGCTCTGTGAAATTTTGTTTGTGAAGACGTGCCAAGGAGCTATAATAAGCTCAGGGCACAGATGAAGACTGGTGGGTTGATTGAGTCCAATTTGTGCCTATGTATGCCTGAGAATTCAATCGCACACCCACACGGTGCTGAGTCACATTGGCAGTCTCCCCTCAAGTCTCACCATAATCGTTAAGTAATTACCACGGAGACTTTTCCTCCAAATCCCAGAGCCAAATGAGATTTTTATGGGATCCCTATTTTTTTATGGGATAAAATATCATTCTATTAGTGGGCTAATGGGTGTTAAAGATAAGCTTGGCTTTGGTCCTGTTTTAAGGCAACTGTTCCATATTTAAACATTCAAAGCTTACATTAATGTCAGGCATTAAGCACTGTTAAAAATGATCATACAAATGCTCAGTGTTTATGATCCTTACCATAATAATCATTCAACCACTTTTTAAATTCTAAAAGTGAGGGGAAGTCTATGTTGACAGAAGCTAATGTTAAGAACTATTGTTGAGCATTTGTGGTGATATTTTTCTTACCATAATTATTCAACCTCTTTGCCAATTTGGCTCTGAACTCCAAAGCTGAGAGGAAGACTGTGTTAATAGGAACCAGTTCATCTTCAATGATGAGAACTAAGCACTATAAGAAGACTAAATAGGAAAACATGTATGGTGGTCGTCACCATAGAAATTTCAAAACCGAGAGAATGTCTGTGTTGACAGAAGCCCAGCTCATCGTTAATTACGAAAACTGGCACCATAGAAAGACCACAGAAAAACAGTATTTATGGTGGTCGTTACCAAAAAAATTACTTGCCATCGCTTTTAAATTCCAAAAACGAGGGGAGGTCTGTGTTGACGGAAGCTCAGCTCATCGTTAATGATGAGAACTAGCACCATAGAAAGAGACGTATTTGAAAACGCTTAGCATTTATGATCATCCACATCATAAAAATCATCCAACCACTTCGCCATCACTTCCAGAATTCCAAAACTGAGAGAAGTCTGTACTGATAGAAGCTCATCTCATCTCAAATGTTGAGAACTTCCAAACCATGCAGACTTGTTTACTCCAGCCTGCCTCTGAACTATTTTGGAATAGTTCTTGGATTAGTACGTTTTTGGAAAGTTCTGCTCAAAACTTCGCGAGGCTGTTCTCAGAGGCTGCCCGCGAGATTTCATAATCATTGTAATGATAATAAAGGATAGCGGCTTGCCTGAGGGTGCAGGACGCGTTGCATGGTGCAGAAAGCTCCGCGCTGTGGTCACCAGAAAACGCTTCTCGGATGCTCCTGAAGGTTCTGCAGCTTTTCTCCTCGTTCCGAGTCAGTAGATCCACATTATATATATATTTTAATCTGTCCCAGGAAGACGGAAGTGTGCTGACAGGTCAGGAAACGCAGAGAAGTGACAGACGCATCTGAGTAGCCTTTAGCTCAGGCAGTGGTCAGTTGTGTTAGGGCTGCATCTTCATGTCCGGCGCTGTTTATCGTCGTTCCGCTGGGAGTGAGGGTGTATATCTCTCGTGCGGTGTAAATCCGTAGCAGGTTCAGTCTGGATCTTCTCTAACGTCTCAATGGCACCGGATCCTCGGAGAGCGCTCGTGCGGCTGTATTTATGTTGAGCCAGCGCGCACGCGGCGTCTCCCCCACGCAGGAAAACGATAAGCGGTGGATTCGAGCAGCTCGTGCGCCCTGCGGTGGGAGCTGAACTTTTCAGCCAGCGCGGCCCGTCTGACCACTGCGCTCTCTCTCTCTCTCTCTCTCTCTCTCTCTCTCTCTCTCTCTCTCTCCTTCCAGCTTATTGGTGGTTGGGGGCTCGTTCCCCTCTATTCGCGCGCTCCAGGTGCTGCATGCGTTTCGTTACTGTGTGACGGATACGACAAAAACAAAAGCAAGCGCGAGGGAAAAGTAGAGGTCATTGACGAGCCAATAAAGTGTGTAGCCGGTAGAGCAGATGAGCACGAGCGGCTGTGCTTTCCAGACTGACCGGGTAAACAGTCCTGCGCACTGTGAGCTTGCAGCGCGAAGAAGCGCGCGCTACTGCACCTTACTGCACCGCTGATCACAGCACGCTCATCCAGTGCAGTGATCCAGTGCGCTACTGCAATTTCAATGCATGCACGCGCAACACTCTCGCTATTTTAACGCAGTCTGATTAGCAGGGAGACCCTAAAATGAACAAATGTTCTTGAGTCAGTTGTTCCAGGCTGCTCTGCGCTCTTAGGTAACGGGACGCCTGTTTTGGGCGATGCTTTCTGTATGTGCAAAATGATATTCTAAGACTAATTAAATATAAGTCCTTTTTTAAGATAATAATGTACATTCAAGTTGGGACGCTTTTAGAACATGTTTATTCAGATTTAACTCCTTTCTGAATGTGCAAAAGACAAATGTGTTAATTCACTAGACTAAGATCCTACAACACCGTCCCATTTTACCTCAACCCACCCCACCCTAACCTCTAAATTTCTCCTTGTGAAAATAATACTTAACTTTTTCATTTTTAAAACGTTTTTGCATCCCTTTTTTGTCTCTCTTACAGTGAAGTTGAACGATTTAGATTTATCATAAGTTTATTTTTAAAATAAAACTCTTTAATTAAAAAGTGCTGTCCTATGTTTTCATGTCACTACAGAAACACTGAGTTTTATTCCCTGGGCGGAGCCTGATTCTAACCACGCCCCTGCAATTTTTAGAGCGGTAAGTGAGACTGCATCCCTGTATACCCTAAGATATAGGTTCATTAATTCAAAAAGTCCAAGTCAGTTAAATGTCTGAAATGTGTTTTCAACAATTGAATGATCCATATATGTATTGTCCAAAGTTTTCTTTATTAATTGTACACTGGAGATGTATTGCTAATGTAGCTTACAAATAATAGAAGCATATGTCCACCAATTAGCACAGTGTAAAATAAATGCCTCAATCCATACTTACCCCATGCCAAACCAAATTGAGTAAACTCAAATAGAGGTTTTGTGGTTTCTGACGCTGTATGACATACTGTTATCGGTAAAGATAGACAAACAAGCAAGCAAATAAGTGAATATAAGCATTCTGAAAGTAGCTCAGTTTCAGTTTACCAAAGTGCAGCCGGCGATGACCCGTTTCATGGCCATTAAGTGTAGGATATTTGTTTTCCAGTGTCAAGAAAAAAACAGAAAATGTATTAAACAAAAGCGCACAGAAGTCTCAATAATTAAATATAATGTAAATTGGCAATATCTTTTTTTTTCAATATTTAATGAGTCCATTCTTTACCCTTTTCGTTTTTTTACGTAAGATTTGCTTTCCATTTTTCAAAGGAACCTTCAGTGTTAGAAGTTGGTAGCATTTTTGGCTTCTCACAATCCAAGTCACACATTCAGTGATGTTGAGGTCTGGGGCCGTATTACAGAAACATCCTATCTTTTTGTCTTAAAATCTGACAGGTTAAGGTAAGATTTTTCACAAATTAGTATTGCAGGAGCAAATCTTATCTTAATTTAAGAATCTTATCTTACAGCGTCTTTTCTTATCTCAAGTTAGGAAATCTTAACTTACTCGATTGAAGTTGACAATCAACTGTCATGTCTGTTACGTAGCAACCAACCATATGCGCACAGCTGAAACGTAAACACGTAATCAAGTTAGTTAGCCAGACAGCTAACGTTAGCTGCCATTACTGATATAAAAAAAAGGTCAAATAAAATTAAAGCGCAATAAACTGAGAGTTAAGAACATTGTTACACTGCTTTGTGCTTTTTATCAGAGTGTCGCTGTCCCCCAGTTTCAGTTTCATTTGCACACTTTAGCTGAGCGTGCTAACATTACTCCTCCTAATAAACAGACACACGTTCAGCTCTGTCTCCTCATTATTCACCGCCATCACTGTAATATTGTATTGTACAAGTTTTTATCAAATATTAACACACAAAGGTAATAAGAGGTGCACATAAGGTAATAACCTCACAAGTCAAAGCACCGTTTTTAAATGTAGAAAAATGTAGCGTCATTATGCTAGTCATAGTGAACTGTGATGCCTATCACTGCATAAAACAATAGAAACAGACGGTTAAAACAGAAGTTAAGGCGCTCTGGGGTTGTCTTAAAGTTAAGAAAATATTTAGGATATTTTGGCAACTTAGGATGTTTCTGTAATGCCGTTTTCTTATCTGGAAATAAGATAAGATTATAGACTTAAGAACTGTTGTTCTGTAATGGCTTCTGTCCTAACTTCAGTCTTAACTGACGTTGCCATGACAACAAAGCAGATAAGATATGATCTCAGACTTAAGAATTTTCTGTAACATGGCCCCTGGACTCTGGGGTGGTCAGTCCAATGTTCTGAGAACACCCGCAGCTTCTTAGTTTGAATTTCAGATGTTCTTTTTTGTCGTTTTCCTTTCCTCAGTTAGGGTTTCTTGAAATCTGCACATCCTTACAGTGGAAAGACAAACACCTGTGGATTTTTTAAAATCTGAGTGGTCAGTTCTCATGCAGACAGCGTGCCTCATGCAGAGCTATTCTCCCCTCTGAACGAGCGTCAGGGCCACAGCAAATGTTTTAGTCCAAAAAGCACAGACACATAAGCGCATTCCTATTCATTTATTCATTAGAATTCAGTTCTGTTCTAATGAGGGTAGGAGCATGTTTTTTTCTCCACAGCAGCCAGCCAGCATTTGAAAATTAAACAAGTGTTGTACACGATCACATGAAATGACTCCTGTTCTACAAGCTGCTGCTTTCAGCTCTGCGTTAGGAACTGACAGTCAACCTGGATAATAACATCCAGACTGCAATGATTAATGAAAGGAGCAGTTAAGATGATGCTTTTATGCTCAGCATGGCGTATTATTAATCTTATCAGCACTTACTGATAATGGATATTGAGTAATGTAATGTCTATAAAGAACACTACAATTTGCACCTTGGGCAGTAGTTTAAGGAGCCAACACTTGCTATGGAGCATTGAACCTATAACATTGTGGTTATGGATTTAAAGCAGCATACTTCAAGCAGTTTTATCCAACTCCGTAACATCTGCTGGTTCTTTAGACTGAAACATAAAGTGAAACAAACAGGCAAATAATGGACATCAGTAAGCAAGAAGATATCCTGCTCTTAAGATTTTAGATTCTTTTAGATTCCTAAATGGTTCTTGGCTTGAATGTATGGCCCTAGATGAAACTTTTAATTGGTATAGAACCTTGATTTTATGTTGAGGTTTTTAAACATTAACACCTTAAATTCCCTGGCTTATTACATCTTACACCTTATTATTCAGTAACTACATGGAAAGCAATGCAAACTTTGAGTTATGCTGTAGGATTTTGGGATTTGAGGATTGAGGAATGGCATCCTGGACCTGCTGGTAGTTCCAGAGTGTTTAAAAGTGTTTAAAAGGTTCTGCATACTTCACGTTTGCAAACATGATTCTTTAAAGAACAATCCATTGAAAAGTTTTTAGGATGCCAAACATGGTTTGCACCAAAGGATCCTTTTTGGCCACCTTAATCATGTAAATGCACACCAAGAATCCATTCAGGAGCCCAAATATTTTTCATATTTGAAATGGTTTCATGTAGAAGGATCACGTTCCAGCCCGTCTTTCTGACCCTGAAAGGGTTAATAAGGGCTTTTTTTTTGTAAGCATATTGGAGGTCAGTATTGATTGAAAAGCCAGCTGCTCCCAGTTTAGGGTGACAACATTCTAAATCCTGGTGATGTATTTCATGTCACTGTCTGACATCCCGATTTAAACTCCTTCCTGGAGTATGGATATGTGCATGAAGTGCTGAATGAGAAGAGTGTTGAAAAGAGCCATTGGTCTATTTCAATCATGCTTCATGTGTTTCTACTGCTGAGCCTACTGGCTTCAAGCATAAGAACAAGGGCAATAGCAACACTCCATCATGAGGACAGAGGACAAGACAAAGTATTTAGGGAGTTGTTCATTTTCCAGAAAATATGAGCGGTTACAGTAGGTTGTACAGATGTACTGAATATGTAATCCTGGTGTTCACCAGGTTTTACTATACATTACTTAAAGAGGTAGTTTGGTTGAAAGTGTAATTGATAAAATTATCCTCTAACCTTTATAAAATTAGTCAACCAAGACGTGTTTGGTATCTAAAGTTTGCTGCTTTAGTTTCTCACTGGGGCTATGTCCCACATTTATGTCACTAACGAAACACATGGATAATTGCATAAATACATAATGCATAATAATGCAAATGTTTTTTTAAATTTCAAGATTTTTTATTTAAAAAATAAACGTATGATAAATCTATATCATTCAGCTTGAAAGGAATCAAATATATTAAAAATAAATATAAACATTGGAAAAAATGTAATTAATTAATTATAAACATTTTCACAAATTAAAATTTAGGGTTTAGAGTTTGGGACAGACAGCTCCCAATAGAAAGTAAACTGTAAATGAAAATTTTATATTTAGCTTATTATTATTTCTATTAATACCTTGAGTTTAAATAGACTTTTTATTTATGCGTTATAACGGCTTATTAATTATTTTAAAGTGTTAAATGTCTAATTAATAACAATTAATAAACTCATTTTAAACCGTTCCCTAGTTATAAACCCACTTTATAGGGGTAGTCTTTCTGTAAAGTGGTGTCCATACCTTATTAAAAAGTCTTACATCTGTCCCATATAAACAGTAGTTGTTCATTAATAATGTGATCTTGCATTTTTGAAAGAGCTCAAAGTTTCAGATAACTCTTCATTGACGTGCTCTGTCCCCTCCACAGCCAGACTGGAAATAAAAGCGAGCTATAGTACA